TTATTAGATATAAACATTTAAAGTTTCAAAATTTTGAGTTAATATACATGTATAATACACATGGGATTGTAAATACAGGTAGCTAATTGGATTTTTATGACATTGCTGTATCAGTCACGGATTGTTTATTATCAATTATGATTATCAATAGATATACTTTCTGTATTGTCAGTTAGTGCATTTATAAACTCATAACAATGTGCCTTACTACAATTGATAATAACAATGCTGTGTACCTGCTAATATCGATGTAATAAAAAACCAATTAGCTACCTTTATTTGTAATCCCTTGTGTATTATACCCGNTAGCTACCTGTATTTACAATCCCATGTGTATTATACATGTATATTAACTCAAAATTTTGAAACTTTAAATGTTTATATCTAATAAGCTAATAAAGTTATATTAAAAATTCAAATGCCATTTACTATTAAATTAAAAACTCAAACATTTTATTAAATTAAAAATATGTGTTACCATTTAAAAAAACAAAGTTGACACCCTTACCAGGCATAAGGGATGAACATAAAAAGTATTACATAGTGAATAATGTCTAACTAAAGATAATGAAAAAAAAAATTTTTAAATTATTATTATTCTGCAAGTAATTGAGTGGTGTCGTGAACGGCATCTTGAAATATGTAGCAATACTTAATAGTCTTTTAAATTAGATTTTAAAGATTATATTTTAATGGTGTTTTGTTTACTTTAAATGTTGTCTTAACCTTGTATTAATTCGTAATTAATCATGTATCTTAAAATATAAAAAGGGACATGAACACAAATAAAATGATCAGTACTCATAGTGAATGTTACATTGTATTTTTACTTTGACTCTTCCTATTGGTACTCTTCCGACTGGCTGAAACTGGACTTAGAAACCCAGTTCACCACAAAATTTGGCATCCCTGGTTAATTCGATTCATTTGGTCATCTCACACAATTAGAAAATCTCTGGAAAACCTCATATCGGCGTTTTGAAGAAGAACTTAAAACAACTTCAAGGAAATCATGAAATATTTGGCGTTCTTAGCACTTTTCTGGTAACATTTTATTTTGTACTTAGACTTAAGATTTACTTACTTAGACTTAAGTTAAACTATAAGCTTTAAATTAATTAAGTTTCCCTTTGTAAAATATTGGTATTATAAGATATATTATAAAATCAATTTTAAATAATTTAAAAAAAAAAAAAAAAATTTGTTTGCATAAAAATTTAATTCTCTTTTTAATATGGCTGATAAAACATTCTCTATTTTCGAACTAACCCAACTAGTAGGTGAACCTTTCGAGGGTCATTCTAGTAAATTAAACCAATTTTTAAGCGCTGTAGATGATATATTTTTACTTGCAACCGAAGAGCAACATAAACAACTCTTTTTGGCTATTAAATTAAAAATAAAAGGAAAAGCAAAGGAAATTGTTAATTCTGTAGAATTAAAAGACTGGTCAGAACTTAGGGAATTATTTATTGAATATTTCGGGGAAGAAATTCGTCCAGATCAACTATCCGTAGAATTGCAAACCATTAGGCAATATAAAAACGAAAAAGTTAGTGATTTCGGTGACAGAGTGGAAAAATTAGAAATTAAATTATATCATGCTTATACAAATAAATTAAAATGTAAAATACAAAAAGAAGCAATAAGAAATATGTGTGAAGACCAAGCGTTAGGTGCATTTAAAAGAGGCCTATACAATAATCAGATTAAAATTATAATATTATCTAATAATCCTAAAAATATAAATGAAGCAATTGCTATTGCTAGACAAGAAGAGATTCGTATTGATACAGAAAACAACCTCTCTAAATACTCTTTTACGAGTAATTCTAATAAATTTTGTAATATTTGCCATAAAAAAAACCATGAAACTTCAAATTGTTTTTTTCGTGATAATAGTAATAAGAACAACTATTTCAAAAATAATAAAAGTATCAATAACGGAAATAACAATACACTTAATAAAAATAGTAACAATAATAATAAAAATAATAAATTTTGTACATACTGCAAGAAGAACTTTCATACTAAAGACGAATGTTACAAATTAAAAAATTCTCATAAAAACGAGCCTAGTACGAGTAAAAATTTAAATTTTAATGATTCAAAACAAATTTCTATTTTAAATACAACTTTAATAACTGATACTCCATATTGTATAATATTTTCACGCGATATAGGTAAAAATATTAATTTGATGATCGACAGTGGAGCCCAAGCTAGTCTAATTAAAATAGGAGAGTTGCCTAAAGGTCATAGATATTGGGATAATTCTTGTACTACTCTCGAAGGCATAAATGGGAAAACAAAAAGCTTAGGTTACACAAAGATTAATTTTAAAATTGGAAACAAAACAATAACTCATGTATTTTACATTGTACCAAATGATTTCAATATAAAATCTCATGGTATTCTGGGCTATGATTTTCTTAAAGATTATGTTAAATATATTGATTTAAATAAAAAAGAGTTACAATTTTACTTTGGTGAAAAAATTAAAATAACAGATTATTTACTAACACATAATTACTCAATTAAAGGTCTTTCGGAATCGGTAATTAAAGTAAAATCGTTTAATACTGGAAATTCTACAGGCATAATATATGACCCAATAAAGGTTAATGACCATGTTTTCATTGGAACATGTGTTACACGAATTAGAAATAATTACGCAATTGTACCTATTCTGAACACGTCAGAAAAAGATGTTTCAATTTGCATTGATAATATGAAATTTGATCAATTACCTCAGAATTTCGAATTCCCAAATGAAAATAATAGTAATACTAACTATCTTGATTCGAACAATACTAACAGACTAAATCTTTTGAATAAAAATCTTAGACTAAATCA